GACGAAAGCAGTTTCCTTCATCCTTGCACTGTACCTGTTGACAGGTGCAGCTTTAATTACACAAGAAATTAAACATTTTCCATCAGTCAGGGGTCCAAACTTGTTCAATCAAGTAAAAGACCCTTAAGTTAAGATGTATTAAATAATGCTTTCTTCATATTCTGATAATGTAACAATGGCTGATATGCAGGTATAAGAGCAAAGCACACAGGAAAGTATGATATACATCAAAAATCTAYCTTTTTTTTTATCATTGATGACCTCACCACCACTGACTAATGCTCTATGTTGTGTTTTATTTTGAAGTGTTGCTGCTCCTAAAAAAAAGTTAGATTTTTCTTTTTGCCTGCTTATACCATAGCAATTTTTTATGCTATTATTATTGACAGTTCTTTTTCTCTTGTTCACTTTAGCACTGTTTTTTTTCAAAGTTTAAAAATRAATAGGGAAAACAATTCCTGTTGTAAATTTTGCACAGACATATGACACCAGATCTCAGTATCATAAATATATTGATAAAAAATGTAAAATTTGGCAATTGATTGCTTAAGAAATTGGTTATTCAGCTGAGAAAGAAAAAAGTATTAAACACATTTTAAAGTTGATCTGTGTAAACCAGCTAAATTCAGTAATATTGGATAGATGTCAGCTTGACTCGTCGGGTAGGTCTGTGTTTTGATGGTGTCAATTGACACATTTTCAGTGAAGTGGCGCTACCTTCCCTTTGGGTTTTTGGTTTTAAATGTCTATTTTTTCTCAGCTGCCAGTAATGAAAGACAGAACCAATCAACTCAAAATTCTACTTCAGTTTTTTACAACAAATGTTAGTAGAAACTCTGACTTCCACAAGGAAGTAGCTAAAGCAGATCGTTGCATTCTTACTTAATATATTGTGTGTGGTATAAATAATAGGCTCAGCGGGCAGTGATTGCTACAAATTCTGTTACTCTCAGCATCTGAGATATTAAGAAAACTCACTATAAAGTTTTAGTTCTAAAGTTTAATCAGCATGTTTATTTTTCGTTTTCAGCTCTTTTTCCTGTCTGCTTTTGTTTTTGTCTTAGAATGATGCTTCGAGAGGAGGCACCYAGCGCTCCCCCCAATAATATTGTGGCTAGCGGTCGCACAAACCAGTCCATCATGGTCCAGTGGCAGCCCCCTCCAGAATCAGAGCTTAACGGCGTCCTACGGGGATACGTGCTGAGGTAAACACACTCTAAACGTGCTGAAATCCTCTTCTTTACACTTTATAGAACAAGAAACAAAGAAGACGACTTCTTTTACATTGTTGAAACTTCTTGTCTTTGGTTTCCTTTTCGTTTACTATTTTATTTTTACTTTAGCCATGTTAGATTGTATCAAAAGGAACATTTTGCCCATATTTGTGGCATATGGTGAAATAAAGATTATTTACCATGTTAGTGAAATAATGAAGCTTGTGATTTAATCAACTAGCCAGCCAGCCATTAGTCAGTCAAAGTAACACTATTTGCATCTGCATATATGACCTAAACTAAAATGAACAACACAAATGCAATTTATTATAGACTTGAATTTTGGATGCAAGAATAAAGAACATAAAATACAGGTACCGGGCCAACCACAAAGTTTATTTTCCCTGCAAGTCACCCCAAATTCAGGAAGCAAACACATTATATGACCTTCTTGAACCCAGCCCATTTTCCAGCATCACATCAGATCTGAGGCAGAACTCCCTATGGAAGAGCTTGGGCTTCGTAACAATAGTTSGGTATCACTTTACAATAAGGCTCCCCTTATGGATGGCTTATAGATAGCATATAGATTCGTTATTAATTAACCTGTAAACACTTCATAAATCGTTAATAAGTGTTTATTATTCATTAATTAAGGACGGGAAAGAGACAAAACTGTCCGGTTTCTTGCCAAATAGTGAGACAAATCTGTTCATGTATATAGTACGTCTAAAGGTGCTATATTAAACATTTCAGAGTAGTTCACTACCTTGTAAGCACAATAATTTATTGAAAACACATATTTTACATATAATATTGTACATTACTGCATTATACATATCCACAGTAATCAAAGGGAGCCTTATTGTAAAGTGCAAAGCAGTATTCTATTTATTAATGCAGTAACAGAGGCTTATAAATAGTGTACTGTTTTACACTTTACAATAAGGCTCCTTTATGGCATTTATACAAGTTTAGTAGTCATTAATAAATAGTGTACATACCGTCTTACATTTTACAATAAGTTGTTAATATGTATAATTCAGTAATATAGTACAATATTATTTTTCAAATATGTGTTTCCAATACATCATTGTCCTTACAAACCTAGTAATATGTACACAAACAAATTTGGCTCACTATTTGACAAGAAACCGGACAGATTTGTCTCTTTCTCGTTTTAAATTAATTCTTAATAAACATATTTATTAATGATTTATAAAGTGTTTACAGATTAATCAATAACCAATCCATAAACTATTTATAAGCCATYTATAAGGRGAGCCTTATTGTAAAGTGATACCAACAGTTCTAACTATTAGTGGGAACAAATGTAATGTGTTGTGTGTGATGAAGTCATGTATTAACTAATGCATCAAGGAGAGTACAGTTGACCATATTACTCAGTTTAATCATAAAAATAAATAACTACTTAAAATACATACTAGTTAACCTCAAAATAAAACAGTATGTGTGATGCATTTAACATCAGTGATAAATAGATAAATGTCCTTCAATTTAATTTTTAATAGTTTTTTTTTTACTTTTTAAATGTACAATAAACATTAAAGTGCACATATGCTTTTAAATCCTTCTTTTTCACATTTAAATACATTTMACTTACCCCTTTTCTGAGGTGGGTCTCAGATCAGCACGTTCAGAGGCTGTCTCTTTAAATCCAAACGAAGCACTTCACACCCCGCCCCCCTCCAGCTTCCAGACCGTTCCACTCCAGTTTAATAGAGGGTGTTACAACTATCTAGTGGTGCAGAAATGTTTTATTTACAAATTAGTTTAAAAATGTCAACAAGGGAAGACTTGTCCATTCCGCCTTACGTGTTGGAACCAGAGTCTGACCCAGAGCCAGAGGAAAACGAAGACGACCAAATTGTAGTTGGTGAGTCCAGACCTTATTTGGCAGTTCCACCACAAATAATTTAACGTAACAGTTCAGGAAATGTCATATAAAATAGAGAAAACTGAACAGGTTGAAAAATATGACACAGAGAGAATATAAAGGTATTTTTGCAGAACTGAGAGAGRTTAAATCCAACTTTTCTGCACACATAGAGTCTCCAAGTACACAACAAAATGTATTTAACATCTAAGAAAAAGTGGATTCTGCATGATGTGTTCCTTTAAATTAAGCCAACGTATTATTGAAACACTCACTCCCCTCAATCGTTTTCTCTCTGGTTCTTTATCAGAAGCATCCATTGTTCCGTGCGTTCACATGCAGATGCGAGTGCTCTTTAATGATGCTCTTTCTGTCCTTGGTCYGCTGTCCTTCTCCATGATGTCTACCTGAAGTACGAAACACTGTGTGTAATCAAACTGTCATCAGCTGCCTCACACAGATTTGCATATAATTGCAGTAGAAGTTATCAGGTCTTTATCCTCCTTCACTGCTTCCACTTCAGAAATCAGTGAAAAACAGGAATGTGCACTTGTACGTCCGCACCGTATCATTTCAGCTGTGTAAGACTGAGCTTCCTCCTCCTCCTCCTTCCCCTCCTCCCCTTTAGATTCTCTTTTCTTCTTCGTGTGTCAGCTGCCAGCKTCTTGTTCTCTTTTTCCTGTTTTCTCCATCCTTCTCGTTACCGTTCGCCTCGCTCCTCTTCCTCCTCCACTTCTTCATTTCCCAGTGTGTCATGAGGAGACAGAGGGGAAAAGACGGGGGGGCTATCTTCACACCTCTGCAGAAAACYGCTGTCGGGCCTCAGTGCCTCCTGACTTTGTGTATCAGTGTTTGTGCGACTGTGTCTTATGTGTGTGTTTGTACAAAATGCACGTGTGACTGAGTGCTGAGTCAGGCAGCGAATCGTTGGAACATCCCGTTACAGAGGATAGGTGTCATATTAAAATGCTGACATGAGGATTATTACTCCATTCAGCTCCATCAGATATGCACAGTACTAAAATGGTATTCCACCTCCCTGTCTAGTTGGCTCATATATTCTTTTAAGTGGGCACTTAAATCACATGTACTAGAGTGGAGGCCATAAAGGTGCACTATTTAGAGACGAAATTRAATAGTTCTGTCTTTAGAGATTTTTAAAAGGTCTTGACATCTGCAGAAAATCCTTAGATTTTCTCTACAAATATTCCCCTCACAGTAAAAAATGAATGTTACAGGAGCAACTTGAGAATAGGAAAAAAAAGGGCAGTGTGGGATGAAATGGTATTGGCTTGAGGTTAAGTTTGTAAGAAAAAAATATATTTATGCATTCTCTCTTTTTAATTATTCGAAAAATATGTGTGATCTTATGTACAACTTNTCTTTTTAATTATTCAAAAAATATGTGCGATCTTATGTACAACTTGTAGCTTTTTTAACTTAGAATGAATTTAATTTGTTTTTATGCATCAGTCTGCAAACATTTCTCCACAAAGCCAGAATAAATTGATTCTAACATTTATTGTATGCATTTACAGAAATATTTGATCCTTCACTATAGCTCTATCACATAATTCCTTTCAACATTTTTTCTTRTCTCAAACTCCAGCTTTGGTTCACAACCATTTTCTGAGATTAAAAAAAATACAGAMTCTGTCTTGTTTTAATACCTCGACACAAACCTGTTCAGAGTCCTCACACGTCTACAGGTAACTAGCTTTTAAAGCAATAGTTCAAATATTTCCAAGTGTTGGTTTGTGGAAGATTTGCCTAAAGCACATTTTGAGAAATAAAAGTTCTTTCTGGCAGGACTGAACKAATGGCTGGCCCGAGCAGGGCTAAAACCAAAGTGGATTGCTTCTGTCTCTTCTGAATTCTGCATGATATAAATATTTGAATTTATGTGACTTCTGGAAGTGTCTCAGGCTGCAGTCAAAGTGCTCCAGCTAGCTGAAGCTGTCGCTATTTGTGTTTTCAAAATAACCATGAGAGTTCTTTGTAAATTATTTTAAAATGCAAATTGGATAGTGGGGTAAGGTTAAAAATAGAATAATTTGCACAAAATGTTGTGAAACTGAGATAAGATAAGAAATGTTTTAATACTGTAGAGATCCACGTTGATTTTGGCCTAGCTTAGATTAGCTGTTAGCTCATCAACCTGGTCAGAATTGACCTGTTTCTACAAACTGAAATTGTTCAAAAAGCTATCTACAACAGGTAAGATCATATTTATGCATAATGTTTACACAGAAACCCTCTTCAAAAAATCTGAACTGTTCCTTGAACCTGAAACCCAGCGTTCCATCTGAACGGATCGCTCATGATGATTATTTGTTTAGACAGTCCAAGGCCCATTTAATCATGGTCAATAAATGTAGTTTCTTATGAGCAGAATCAAGTCAAAAAGCATCATAAGCAAGGCTCATATTTGTACAATTTGGTTCTGTAGATGAAAACTCTCACTCCTATTTTAACTCATTTATAAAGTATTCTAAAAGTCTGTTTTGCTTAGTCGGTGTCATATTTTGTAACTACAAATGGAGAAAAAAAAAAAAAAGAATCCGCCCAAAATATGTATTACAAAAAGGAATACAGTTTGTAGGGAATGTGAAAACATTCATATCCTCTGAGTATTTTGTCTCATAACAATTTCCATATTTTCTTTTCTCACTTGTTACAACACATTTACAGGAGAGCCTGTGTCTGTGTGCAGGTACCGTCTGGCAGGGTTGCCRGGGGACTACCAGGAGAAGAATATCAGCAGCCCAGAGACTAACTACTGTCTGCTGAAAGACCTCATCATCTGGACTCAGTACCAGATCCAGGTGGCTGCCTTCACAGGGGCCGGCCTGGGTGTTTACAGCAGCCCYGTCACCGAGTACACTCTGCAGGGAGGTCAGTGAAGATGCACAAGTACATTTTCATTTCTCATTTATTTGCTTTGCAAGCAAGTATGCCGAGAAATCCTGGGACATTTTCAAGCACACGTTGTACTGAATGTGCTCAATAAGTTTCCCGGACATGTATTAAGTCTGCTGCTGCAGCCCCCTGCACCTTAAGATAAGCTCCAGCTGGGGTGCAAGAACATTTTGGCGCAGCTGTGAAGAAGCCCACATCTGTTGTAAGTACATYAAGACTTCACTGCCTGGGATGATGTAATGATGACAAGAAATGCTCCTCTCAGCGATTTTAAAAAAAGAAAAAAGTTTGGGTTGGTGATCAGATGACTGACAGAGACATGCAGCTGCAAAGTTGTTTCTCTGCAGCCTCAAAGGCTTCAGTATTACTCAGCTTTGAGCGGAGCCAGTTGATGCCGTTCAGTCTTATATTTAAGTTGCCCCAGARGCACGCACCCCCTCGCAGGCAAAGCAGCTTCAGTCAACTGGGAGGAGAACCTGAGGGCGGCCCAGGATGTGCTGAAGGGACTGCAGTTCATCTTCCATCTGGCTAACAAGCAGCTTGAGACGCTGCAGGATTGGGGGGATGGGTCCGGGAAGGGTTTCTCTGCTGCTTCATAAATATATAATATGACAGATAATAGTGTGTTTATTGTAATAGACATGGCTGCACACAGATACGCACCTACAGCTCTCGGAGACATAAATCAATGAAGTGGTTGTGAGGAAGGAAAKAATGTAAGAGCAGACCGTTAAGGGAGATGTGCGGGTAAATCTCTTCTAACCACGTGCTTGTCGCACGCCGACTTTTATTCCAACGCTATATTATTATTATTAAAAACGAGCAGATCAGCACAATCACGCACACACACGAACATGTGCACTCAAAGTCATCACTGCAAGAGTTCAGGAAAGGTTTATAGACTCAGGAGGGGGAGTTAGGCTCATTAATTATTCTAATGTGGTTTAATAGGAGTCGCTGTGATGGATTGGACATTTTCTCCCTCTCACCRTCTCTGAGAGGATGTGACTGAACTCTGTGTTAAACTCAGATAACATTACTTTTCTTTTCTGCTCTTTTCTCACAAGCAGCCTYGGTGCATACTAAGATTCCCCCAAAGGGCAGAGTTTAGTGTTTTATCTGGAGCTGTGAGCTGCAAGGGGCTAAAAGCCRCTTCCCGGGAGTACAGTCGGCGTGGCAGAGACTGAGAGAACATCTTTAACATCAATTAATCTTCCGTCTCTGTCGTCTCACTCTTTGGCATCATTTCTTGCACATTCTACYTTTTTAAAAAATAGTTTTCAGGCCGGTGTTTTTCCATATGTGTGTGCTGACCACTTCAGCTCARAATACTAGATTTAAAGGGCATTCCCATCATGCAACAGCCCGTCGGCACTCTTGCGGCTTTCAAGCATCAGCATAAACCCTTTACTATGTAATCACCGTGACGTGCCCACAGACTCGCACGCATGGACACTCGATTAACTGTCACTCCTATCTCCCGCTCTCTTTCRCTGACTTTAATATTCATTCATCATGGATCATTTTTCCTCACTGAAACGCTGCTCTGATAGATTTCACACAATAGCTAAAGAGCCACACAAAGGGAAACGCTGAAACAAAAGATAAGTGTGGAAAAACAGACGAGACCGTGGTTTATTCTTGAAATAAGTTAATAATGAAGTGATTAGATTATGATACATTTTACACAGTAACCCCATCTTATCTATATTTTACTGAGGTCTTACACAAGATATATTTGGTAAATATTTCTTTGTGTTCAATCTTTTGTCTGTCTCTCTTTGGTGGATGATGAATGAATGAATGATGATGAATGTCTACGTTTTATGCAGATTCTGCAAATTCTAATTTGCTTTATTTTGAGCACAGAGTTCTTTTGTTGAATTTTTTAATGTTATGTCTTTGACTTGYTCTAAAATGCTATATTTCCTCAACAATCACACAATGCACGAATCACATTTATGAAAACCAAGTGATGTAAACGGTGAAAGTCTGTTTGCCGGTCTCMGAAACACACGGCCGCCGCGGTTGTGAGAGGGAGATGTCCGAGGCTTGGATAAACAACGCTGTTGACATCGCCGTAATGTCATCTGGGTGATCTTGGCTTGGATTTTCACACATTTAACAGAAGGCTGATTACAAGGAGGAGACGTGAGCTCTGACAGATGAGGGCGTTTAGGAGGGAGTGAAAAGTGTTTCTAATAAAGGACGCAAGTGCAACACTCAATCACTGGAGAGCTCGTTGTAAGTGAAAATATTAATATGGATGAAATGTCACGGTTCTTTTATGAGATTCACTCTGTTTTCAATCAATAAATAAGGCTGCGGCGTTCGGTAACATCATGTGCGTAATAAAAGTTGTGGGAGGGGTGCTGGAGGTTAACTGGACTCAGGACCAATCCATTGATCCATCGTTGTGTAGAATTAGGACGTAATAGATCACTACCCCTGTGATWTTAAGCTATTTCAATAGCACTAATATCAATAACATATAAATGAAAAACACATGGTGTTMGATGGGATTATTTTGAGATATTAGGTCATTTGTAGTAAAGCTCAGAAGAGAGGGTTTGGCATTTAAATTTTGCAGACTCTGCATATATTTAATTTAAAAAATGAGCCAAAACTCAACATTAAATGTTGAACAATGGTCCTGTACTGGATATTTACAACGGCCACTGACTCAGAAAGTCTATGCAGTTTATTTTTTTCTCAGGGTATCCTTGTATTTCTTTTCTCTGCTTTGAGCTCATTGCAAGTTAAATATTAAAATATTCTCTGTTTGTGTGTCTTTGTTTAGTTCCCACAGCCCCTCCGCAGGAAGTGGAAGTTGTTGCTGTTAATTCAACCACCATCCGCTTCACGTGGAACCCTCCACCACAGCAGTTTATTAACGGCATCAACCAGGGATACAAGGTAAACTTCTGATGATCTCTGTGTTGTTTCCATCACTAATAACACAAATGTTCTGAAGTCAAAGACRTTGGATATGTATTGTACTCAGTTCAGTTTTTTGTTTTAATATTTATCTAAGTTTCATAAGAAACATGATGTCTGCCAAAAATATATTTTCTCAAAACTCCATTAACCATTAAAYGCATTTAGGAGTCACTAGGAGTGCAGAGAAGTTTAATTTAGTTTCTCCTGGTGCTGCGTAGATATCTTTATATTCTGTTTGGGCCTTATTTTTCAAAAAAATTTCTGAAATATTATGTCAAAATATTTGCGACAGAAATAAGGTCTGGACATGATGTCCCAGTAGCTTTCAAACCCCAAAACACATTATGGCAAAGGCTGGTTCACCCCAAAGATCCGGTGCCCCGGCACAAACAGAGCAATGTTGTATATGCTGTTAAGTGCCAGGAGGACTGCGACCAGTTATACATCGGGGAAACAAAGCAGCCACTGTTCAAAAGAATGTCCCAACACAGACGAGCTACATCTAATGGCCAGAACTCTGCAGTTTTCACTCATTTACAGGCCAGCGGTCACTCTTTCAGAGATGAGGATGTTCTCATTCTTGATAGGGAGGAACGTTGGTTTGAGAGGAGTAAAAGAAGCCATTTTTGTGAAGAAAGACCGTCCATCATTAAACAGAGGTGGAGGCCTCCGTTTTCAGTTGTCCCCCTCCTACAGCGCTGCCATTGGCAGTATCACTCCACCCYCTGTTAACAATAGGTATTAATTAGGTGTCAATGATAGCCATGTGATGTGAGTATCAGACACCTGGAGGCAGGACTCAAAAGCCTGAATTTTGCCTGAAACTCTCAGACTGAAGAAGTCTCTTGGAGGAGAGACGAAACGTTTCATTARAGAAGAACCYGTCCAGAGGACCTATACAATTTTTTTCTTTTGATTTTTTACCTGGATTACTGAGATGCATCAGGACGTCTGGACTTGCCAACAACAATTTTGTCATCTTCATTCTCCTCTTGATCTGGGTCAGACTCTGGCTCCAACACGTAAGGCTGAATTATTTTARTTAATTTATAAATAAGAAGTTTCTGTGCCACTATATAACCGTAAACCCCTCTATAAAACTGCAGTGAACTGTTATAGAAGCTGAAGGGGGGCAGGGTATGAAGCGCCTTGTTTGGATTTAAAGAGACAGCCTCAAAACGAGTTGATCTGAGACACACCACAGAAAGGGTTGAAAGAGGGTCTTTTAGAGTTACAATAAAGAGGAATTCAGACCAAAGCATTGCAGTTCCACTTTATATAGASCCCAAATGAATTATTTAAATGTGAAAAAGATGGATTAAAATGCATGATATGTCTCCTTTAAGTAGATGCAATAATACAATGCAGCACTAAAGGCTGGGTTATTAGTTCATGTAACTTTGAAAATCATCCAAAAATTAATTTGAATTTTTATTTTAAAACTGTTTTAAAGTTCAAAACTACMATGGTTGTTTGTTAAAATAATCATGTACTGCAACGGTTGTGTAAATAGTTGTGAACGTATAAGTAAATACAAATTCCAAGGACTTTCAACACACAGATGCATTCCTCATCTGCACAGCCTTGTTTTTGTTTACTCATTCTCTTTGGCCAGCCAAGTCTGGGGTCAGTTCCAGGAAGGAATAATGAGTGATYGAAACCAGAGATAGAGAGCATATTTGAGAGGCAGAATAATGCTTAGCATGATGAGAGAGATGAGGACTGAATTGTGTGGGTGATCTTCATGTACCAGTTCTGAAATGGGATTTATTCTTGTCTTTATTGTTGCAGGCGACCCCCAAGGAACTGATTAACATGACAAAGAAAAYGTATCACATTTTTGCTCTGCATCTCAGGGTCTGTGCAGGAGACTGTTTTACAGTGCGGATATTGTTGTCTTTGTTGGTTGATAAACACTGTATGGCTTTCCATCATTTTGATGAGGCTTTCTGTTAGATGCTGCCTCGGTAACATCAGGGTTTACCACTCCAAACCCATGAAGCCTCTCAATATGGCTTCACATGTGGGTGTGCATCTTTGGGAGTACTGCGCTGGTGAAAGGCCAGTAGATAATAATATTAATTAAAAGTGGGTATGAAGCACAAGCTCATCTCATTTCATCTCCCCCACAGATCACTGACTATATACAGCACTGGTAATAATAGTAGCTCTAAACTCATTCCCAGAAGCAGAACCAGAGTCTCTTCTCACACAAGTTTGAACATTTTCTACTTGTTTGCCCTTGAAAGTGTCTTTATTCTGCTGCATAGTTAAAAAGTATTTATTACCTGCCTATTCATAAATCTAAGACCTGGCATTCCTTGAAGGACTGCGGATGAAACCTGATAAATTACATTTTGCACAGTTTCATGTGATCTCACAAGATGTGTTGTGAAAATGACCATGATCAGCCACTATCAAACCATATTTAGTTCAATATTAGTAAAATATGTTGACATTTTTAGGTTGGCTAGGGTAAATTAGCTATGGTGACTTTCTTGAACTGGTTGACTCCAAAGGTTAATCATTTGTAGAGGTGCAGCAAATGATGATTATCTAAAAAACTCAATAAAATCAATGAAATGGTTCATTTGCAAATGTGCTAAACGAGTTGACTGCAATAATTATTGGCTAAAATTTTAAACTAACTCTTGTGCGATCAGTTAGTGCTTGTGTTATGTGTTGGGGATGAGTCTCAGCTATTAAAGGGTCTGTTATAGTCGCACTTTAGAGTGTCACTCAGGGACCAGCTRACGATCCACGCATCGGCTTTTATACTTGAAGCTTATGTTGCTACATTAACCTCTGAAAGCACAGAGCACTGTATAACTTGTGAAATGCTGAATAAARGGAGACACTTCACGGACAAACGAACTGTGAATGCAGCACACAAYCTGTGCAGAGTTTGAAAAATTTGGAGGTGCATGACCAGACGCTGGTATGTTTAATGAAATTTAATGCATAAACTGTAAATACAGCTTAACTCATCAAATTTTCTCTCTCCTAAACTCTGGAACCAACATCCTGAAAACCTAAGACATGCAGAAACAGTTTTTTTTATCAGAACTGAAACATTATTTTTTTTACAAAAGCTCTACCATAAAAGTGAATTTTTATCAGTTAATTTGTTTTATATTAGTTCTAAGCTATTTATGTGTTTAGTGTTTTGTTTATTTTATTGTTTTTCTGCAACACAAAATTATAATGTAATTTCTTCTTTTAATGTACATCGCTGTATCTGTGAAGCACGTGTATTAATGGTGCTAGACAAATAAACYTGTCTTGCCTTGTAATGAGATATTTTGCTAACTCTACAAACAAAACACACACACACATACAAATGTGCATCAACACAAAGGCCCTTGTGCCTTCAGCTCAAAAGCGATTATCAGTTTTTCTATCACAGAGTCTGTTATGGGCTCATTACCGCTCTGTTTGGGTTCTTAAGCAATCTTAAGATTTCCATTGCAAACTCAAGATGCACTCAGTCTATCTCAAGAAGAGACTTAAAWCCTTTCAGTGGCCTTTGAAAGTGGAATAAAACAGGACGCCTGAGGATACCAGATCACCACTCTTTTAATGCACCCAAACTTTTCTGTGCTGAAAAAAAGAAGAACAGATTATAATAGAGAACCTTATTTTACCATGACAGACTTGGTGCAGTGTAGCCTGAAGGCAGAGAAAAGAAGCAACCACTCAAATGTCTCATGAAATCACACTGGTCCTTTTTAATATAAGATGGATCTAAGTTTAGTCCTTTTTTATCACAGAGTTATAGTATATGAAGCAAACTGTGAAACAAAGTAGCTCATTCACAGATTTAATCCGAATCTATTCTTTTRGATTCAGCTGCAATTTTATTTGGGTTTTATTTGAAGGTAAATATAGACACTTTGACCCTGTTATACATTATGCATGTGAGTCCTTGCAGCGCAGTCCGGAGCTGGAARCCTTCCAGTCTTTTATCCACTAAACAAACCTCATTCTTCACCTGCTTGTAGCCTCCTACAAAGAGGGGGATAAGACCAGAGTTCTAGTTGCTCTTGTTTTCCTGAGACAGAGAGATCAGTGAGCTGCTTAAAGGCTCCATGTTAGGTTTTCTTTAGGGTTTGGCTCTTTGTTTTAGTTTAGGATTTTACTTTTYTTGTATGATTATGGTACTACTAGACCAAACAAGACATATGCTGCACCCGCTGCGCGTTTTTTTTTTGCAACATTTTGAAAGCCAAAGGGAAAAAATGGCCTTACTGTCAATGCAAAGTTTTATAAACTGCTGCACTTGACAAAACTGAGCTTAAATTACAGTGCATCTAATGCATTTATTTTATTTTAATATTAGATAATATAAATAAGGAAATCATATTATAATTGTGCCTGGGGGTTATCTCTCAAAATGAGTATATAAGTCTAGGCTCTTCTCAATTTATTTTTGTGGCTAAAGTAATAACTATAAGCACAGAGCAGTGGTTTGGAATATAAATCAAGTTCTTCTAAAGTGTAAAAAAAAACTAACTTTCATTAGGCATTGAGTTTAAAAGATAATAAAAGGTGCTGCTGTGTTTGTTCTCAGATGCTGTCATGACTGACAATGTTTATGAGGGAAAATCGATAAATAAATGTTGAGAATGCAAATATGTTTTCCTGGAAATGAAACGTGGAAATTGCTTTTCCATTCTCACAAATTTGTTTTTGCTGTTTGTTATTGTTTAACTAATGTGAGAAAATTTACCACACCCCGTACTGTGGCACAAATATATTTGTGTTTTTTTTTTATAAATTGCAATCTGAATTATGAAAAATAAAAGGATTCTGCTGCCCTGAAATTTCATGAATCTAAAGTAATTTGAAATGAAAAAATAAATAAATAATAAAAAAGACCATAAAGTAAGTGAGATTGACAATAAATGAGGTAGCTCTGCAGTATTTTGATTAGATTCATTAGATACTGTTTATGTCACCTGTCACCATTTTATTTGTTTATTTTTTTCTGATTGAACGCAGCTGCTGGTCTGGCCCGAGCAGTTTCCAGAGGACATTAATGTGGTAACCATCACTCCGGACTACCCCAGCTCACGACACACGGGATTAGTGGGCAGGCTCAAGAAGTTCACCTGGTACTATGGCTCCACCCTGTGCTTCACCACACCTGGAGATGGGCCACGCAGCCCACCCATCCTGCTGCAGACACACGAGGACAGTGAGTGTGCAAATTACACACGYTGAYRCRTTATTATTAYATCACAGTGTGACTAAACCGAGCTCAGAATGTATTAAAAACTCCATCAGCGTAGCCTGGGGATGACAATGAAGCTTTGTGTTGAATCCAGCTGTTTTTATTACACACCTGCATCCACAATACACAGTAAACACCCCCCAAAAAAAATAAAAGAATCTTTCTATTCTTTCACTTCCTGTTAATTTCTTTGTTCTCAGTTTCCCTGCCACCTCCGTCCACCGTGTCTTTTTAAAGGGAATTGATTCAYATGTTTCCATGCGTGCTGGTATTTATAGCCCACTGTTCCATGGATAAACATAATTGCTGCCACACCCAGCTACAGGAGCACATGCACACAGGCCCAGCGTCAAATAAACACAAAAGCCCACAGGCAGACAGACAAGCAATTATTAGCAACCAGCAATTATTGAGTGGGAAAGGGATATTAGAAGCCATGCGTACACATTCACTCAGCCACAGCAGTGGACGGGTATTGATTGGTTGCTGGGCGTGTTGCAGGGTTAACGGTGGGTGTAATTCTTGCTTGATGATAGCTTTTTGCATGTGTGTGCGTGCATGTGATTGTGATTGTGTGTGAGTGTTATTGAATGTCTCAGATGAATAGCTTAATCGCTCTGCAGGGAGAGAGGTTAGAGAGCTATGGATGAAATGAGAAACGACAGGCTTGCGTGAGTGTGTGTATGTGCGTGTGGAGGGGGCCGGTGTGCTGGTCATTGCAGAAGCAATAAAAAGAGGATGTGTAAATTGGAAATATTAAACGTGCTGTTGGAGATGTTTACCTCAGTATGAGCCGATGTGCACGTGTGTTTATATTGTTTTTTTCTTTTCTCAGCGCCTGGACCCGTTCGCCAGCTGAGCTTCACTGAAATCTTGGACACGTCACTTCGAGTCAGCTGGGCCGAGCCTGAGGAGAAGAACGGCATCGTCACTGGTGAGAACTCTGCAGCCTGACAGCGTAAAATATAAAGTACAAAAATTCTCACTAATCATCTAGTTTTTTTTTCTCCAACCACCGAGTTATTTACCACTCTGTCAAGGTTTAATTAAATTTGYGTTGTAGGTCCTTCTAAGAAATTAATAAGCAATAATCAGAAAAATGAGAACTTTCATTTCTGTTTACAACATATGTTGTCTCTCCCTGGCTGAAAACTCTCATTTTAAAATGACTAATGAGAACCCCTTTAAAAGGCCATGCCCATTCAAACTTTTTGAAGTTGGGTTCTGTGGAAATGTTACCAACAAATAATATCCTACCTGATGTAGACAGCTCTGTGCACAGACTCAGTTGGGRAAAATAAAGTTTAATCTTGACTGCTTTGACAAATTTAGCAACCAAAGCCAAAGTGGATTGCTTCTGTCTTTAAAAAACTCCARTCTTAAAACAGTCATAGCAGCTATTGAAATATTTTTAATACATGTTTACGCTTCTGTGGATTTCACATCAGCAACTAAACCTGCACAAAATTTGTGATACTTTATGTATGTAACTGAAATGTGAAGCTGACAGTGATGCAAATGTTTTAAGATTTTAGTAATCTGATTTAATCTTGGACTTGCTAGCTGTTAGCTTTTTAGTCCATTCAGAAACAAATCTATATTTCTCCAAACTGTTCAAAGAGCCATCTTCAAGTAAATTTTACTTATTCATAACTTTTCCACTGAACTCCTCTTTAAAAACAATCAGAACTATCCCCTAAAATTTTAAAGTTTCATCTGTATCCTTTGCTCAGTAAAGGTCTATAATTTAATTAAAAGAAAAAACATTGTAAAAGTAAAAATATAAAAAATATAAAATGAATTTCACTGAAAAGAAAAGTACATAAAGCCGTAAAACTGCTCCCAATAGTCTGGAAAGTAAAGTACTTTTGCACACACTCTAAGAAATGAAATGTTGAATTTACTTACAACTTAGGATACATCTGTGGCCTATAAAAAACATGTTCATTAGATTTATTACAGAAAATCATTTTCAGATAATGAGATTTCACCTGGTCACTTCGGCCTGTTCTGAGCTCCAGTCAAAAAATCTGTTTATGCAAATAAGCTGCTGTTGGCAACCTTTTGTTTACATTAACTCCACCCTCCCAACACAGCGTTTATGCATCAGGTATGTGAAAATGGCTGCTAGTACAAGCAGATGCACAATGGTATAACGTGCTGCGGTCAGTGTGTCTACACCAGGTGAGGGCTTCGTCGGGACAGACTAGAGTGTCCGACTGAAGTCAGATGTCTTGGTGCCGGGGAGGCCAGTGAGCATCTGTCGCTGCTTCCCGAAGCTGGCGAAGATGAACGGAGTGGCAGTCAAAGTCTGCGCCGCTGCAGCCTGAACGATCCTGTGTCATGAGACGAGCGCTGTGGAGCAGGTGTCTCCAGTCCTCCAGCACAATTCACCCCCGCTGATGACAACAAGCCGCACCGTGCAGCCACCCCAAATGCAGTATTGGTAGCGACAGACTGGTGCCCRGAGAGGCMAACGCATGTCCGACGCYGCTTCCCGAGGCCAGCGCTGTGGAGGGGGAAAGGAGGTGCTCACCTCCTCCTCCTTTAGCATTAGTTTGTGCTTAATWACAAATCATGTTCAYGTCAGCAATACTAAAMACACAAAACATCACTTAAGTCTCCATCAGCAGATTGGTGACGAATAGTAGGAACAGGAGTTTCCTTCAGTTGAAAGTCTGGCTTGGGCACATCCTGCTGTAGTAGTTTTCAAARGAGTCCATCGAGAAATTAGTTGCACAAACTCCAGCTTTCTTAGGCAATATTGCTWGAACATTGCCATCAAAAATAAAAATAAAATTAAGCCAGGCATCTTTGTTCTTCTTGACTGTTGTTTAAACAGCAGAACTAATGTGGTCGTCCTGTAAAGAGGTGGGCGGAGTCTCCGCTTGGGTTACCAGGTGAGGGAATGGGCTCACCTTGAAGTTCTTAAGTTACCCAGATTGTGACGCAATTTTCCGCTGGTTTTTAGAACAGCTCATTTTCTGACACTAACAAAACATGTACATATTGCCAAAAAAAGCTGGGAGTATTTTTTTGGTTCTTGGACTGTTTCTGGAAGCAGTACAAACCAAAATTGAAGTATAAAACATGTATAAAAGTGAATTTTGCATGATAGGTTCTCTTTAATCAAACWGGTTTCACTAAACTGAGTTGAATAAATTGAGCACTTTACACATTTTGTTTAAAAATATATGTAAATTGCTTCATATTAACTCAACTCAGTTTAGTGGAACCACTTGACATAACTTGGGTGAGTAAATTCAACTCCTCATTGTTTAGAGTGCATACAGTGGGGAAAATAAGTATTTAGTCAGTCACCAATTGTGCAAGTTCTCCCACTTAAAAAGATGAGAGA